CATATACGCACCATGATTAGTACTTTGGCGTTATATACGCACTATGATTACATGTTAGCATCTGTCCGGAAAGATAATATGTTGATGCGACTGTTTTGGAATTTTGTACCTAGTCTAATATTGTTGCAATAATGGTTTTGCTATCACACTACTAGGATTTTTCTCACCCCTTCGGGGGCTCAATTTTTATAAATTGCTGGAGTACGAAAGAGCATTTGATGATGAAGTACTTGTGTTGGGGATATTCTGTTTACATGCTGCTGTTGGAAATTCTAATGTATGTTTACTGATTTTTTTGAATGCTCATGAAATATTTGACGTTGGTGTAATATTTGGGAGATTGGAAAAATGTTGGATCATATATTATTTTGCTGTAATTTGGGATTTATGTACTGTTTGTAAATTACGTAATGTTGAACTCGTTTGCGAAAACAATTTCTGTCTGTTTTCAAATTCGGATTTTCTGAAACTGATTTTGCGAGCACCTTGGGAGTTCTATTTCTGGGGCTACAGATCTCCGTTTAAGGCATAATTTATATGTACTTAAAGCTCCAGGTGTCTAGTTTAAGATTATATAAACTTTACAATGTAATTCTGAAAGCTCGATTTATTATGATTTTTGCAAGTCAGGTAGTTTTGGAACATTGCACTGATTTGTCTTATACTTTGTGATGCTCAGTTTCGGGAGCTAGACACCGCCGAATGAAACAATTTTTATATGCACGTAAAGCCTCGGATGTCTAGTTTCCTATATCTAAAAATATTTTTCTAAGCCGTTGAACTCGAATTTATACGATTTTTACAAGGCAGCAAGGTTTTTCAGGAAAGCCATTATTTCGGCAAGCCATGCATTTTGTAAAGTTGCACTCTGATTTCGGTAAACTCCCAGATTTCAAACTAATAGTTAATTAGTAACTCGAAAACGCCATGTTGTATTTATTTAAAAATTCGTTACGACTCTAATTCGCTTAGCAGAAAACTCCTTTGGGTGCACACAGGGGAGGGTGTCACACTTGCCGAGTCGCAACAAGTTTTTGGTGCCGTTGTCGAGGATTGGATCTTTCAACATTAGAAGTAGCTAAAGGCCTTTTAGATTGGACATTTTATTTTTCTGCAATTTAAATTTTCTATATTTATATAATTTTATTCTTTTTTATTTTAATTTTTTATTTTTTTAACTTTTTAATTTTTTAATTTTTAATTTTTAATTTTTTAAATTTTTTTAAATTTTAAATTTTATTTTTTTCTGCATAATATATATTTTTTTGTTTAAATTTCCTGTTTTTCTGCATAATTTTTTACTCTTAGTTTATGCAAAGTAATGTTAACCCACGATCCTTGCAGCTTGATCCTGAGATAGTAAAGACAGTCAAAAAACTCAGAAAAAACACAAAAAAGATAAAAGAAAAAGAAGCTTCAAGCTCGACGGAACCAAAGGAAGAAACCATGGCTGACAACAATAGAATTTAGAATCTTCCAAGAACCTTGGGAGATCACATGACTCCAGCCCAAGTTTCGCAGACGACAAGCTTTGTTAGACTAAACGTGGCTGCTAACAATTTTGAGCTCAAGCCCACATTGTTGCAACTAATTCAAAAAGATCAGTTCGCCGGAAGACCCCTACAGTCATCTAGAGAATTTCTTGCTATACTATGACACCTTGAAGATGAATTGAGTCTCGCGTGATGCCGTCTTGCTCAGACTCTTCCCATGCTCACTGAAGGAAGAAGCAAGAGGGTGGTTGCAGTCACTGCCTCAAGGAAGCATCACCAACTGGGATGATTTGGCGACCAAGTTCTTGGCCAGATTCTTCTCAGCTTCAAAGATGGCAAGGCTCAAAGCAGAGATCACTGCTTTTGATCAAAAAGAAAGTGAATCCTTGTACGAGGCATGGGAAAGTTTAAAGGACTACTCCAGAAGTGTCCCCAACATTGAATTGAAGCTTGGGAGAAAGGACGAATCTTCTTTCAAGGAATGACGCCGAGCCAAGAACCTTGGTGAATGCTGCAGCAGGGGGATCATTGAAAACTAAACTCCTGAGGAAGCACTGGAATTAATAGAATATTTAGCCTCTCAAGAGTTTGATAATGCTCCAGTCACACAAAGGAGAACGGGGATCATGAAGCTTGACGGCTATGATGCGCTGTTGGCCCAGAATGAGCAAATATTGCAAATAAATAAGAAACAACAAGCACAATTAGATGCTCTCACAAAGCAATTTGTCAATTCTCACGTCTCTTTTGTTAATAATCCTCAAGTTACTTGTGGTATTTGTGCAGATACTCATGCTACTGAAGATTGTGGTTTTATGAAGGCACTTGAGAATGCTGAAGTCAACGGAATCTGGTATAATCAAAAGAACCAGAATAATCTGGGGACGAACCACCAATCAAACTCTGAATTCAAGCTACAAACTTGCAAAATACACACATACACAAAGGTGTCACACAATCAATCAATACAAGTTAATGAATATCAACATATTCATCAACAATACAACAATTCCACACCATAACTTGACATGAACTTACCTATCCAAATGAGCTAATCAAGCTCCATAGCTTCCTCCAATGGATGTTCATTTAAAGTTGGTCCACTTGCCTTAATCCTAGCAACAGAAGGGACACAATCAATCATCCAATACACTAATTTCTTAAAATGCTAGAACATTCATAAGCTTAAGCATCAATTTTTTAAAATATCTTGGTATGCCCAAATGACTATTTAAACTCATTTCTATCGATTACTCATCATTCTAAGCAACTTTTCCAAAGGGCCTAAGCTTCAATCAAGCTCTAAACTACCCCATCCAACATACATTTTCTCAAATAAAACCCTAACATACTTATTACCATAAAAATCATGGAAAAGCTTGTATTTAAACATGAACTCACCTAGAATCATGCAAGGAAGAGATTGCAAATCTACAAGCAAAGTAATGTGGGTCACCACTTTCGCCACCATTTTTCTCTCAATACAAGGCTTTTTGGTAGATTATGGATTAGGGGTTGTGTTTGCCTCTCAATTCTAAGAAAAATTGGTTCAAGAATCAAAGTATTTGGTAGAGAGATGGAGAAGTTAGGTTTTGGAGCTTTTCATCAATGGTCTCCTTCCTCTCTCTATCGCACGGTGAAAAAGAAGCAAATGGGTGGGTTTGTTTGTTTTACACTTGACGTAAGGTAGGTAACTTTTAACCGGATAAAAACTCATCTATCTATTCACCTCTATTCACTTCCAAACTTTACCTTATGGGCTATAATATTTTTCTAGTCATATTTCTATTTTTACTTTCACTTTTTGAGTACTTTTGCCTACACATATTTTTACCCCATAATTTTCAATGACTACACTTTTTACCTCAAAGGTGATACTAATTTATTTAATTAGACATTTTACCTAATTCAACCTACTAATACAATATTAATTGCCTAATTACATGCAATTAATTAAATTTCATAATGAAAGATATTATAATGCACGCCACGGGATTGAGCATTATCACCTAGGCGACTATCAGTACCAACAAATGCTGCATGTATTTGTTGAAGCTGCGTATTGAAGTTGGTGAACTAATTCTAATGGTCATTGAAACGTTGCTCAAAACAAGATTGCAATTCCTCCAAACTCTAATTGATGTGAAGTTGGAAAGCGCCAAATTCTTCAACCAAATCCTGAACACGCATTGTGAAATGCTAGTTGAATTCAACTCTCAATGAAAGCACTAATGAAAGAGACGCGAACCCTATCGCTGGAATTTCAATCAAGAAGAACAGAAAGAACAAAAAAGAACAATTGTTTTGACTACATTTACCACAGCTCATCCTAATGTTATCAGTGACTAACCCACACTCAAGCCACGTCATGTATTAGCAATCTTTACAACAACCTACAGAATCAGGTTCATCTACCTTGGATTAGCTACACAACATTGGCCCAGCTACATATTAGTAATAAAGTCCTTGGCCCACGAAAAAACCTGACAAATCACAAAAAAATTTGTAGTGAATGGCCACTGATGTTTGGTGAGCTACTTCTGTGGCATTAAAGTAAAAAGACTTCTTCCCCTTCCATTCAATTTAGTTTCACATCAACTCCCACATTTTATTCTTAAAAAGTTATTTCTTTGTTTTTTAGTAATTTCTTAAATTTATTTATTTATTTAATTATTTTTGAAAATTATGAGGAATTTTTCAAGCACTTTTTTTTTGAGGTTGCTAGTTTTTCTTTTTTTAAAAAAATTATTTATTTATTTATTTTGTGTGTTCAGTGTCTTATTTCTTTTATGATGATTACTTATTTATTACGTTGTTTGTGGTTGTGTATCAATGCAGTAAATGAAGAATCTAAATGTGATTTCAAATACTGTGCATGTTTATTGCTTTGTTTATTTATTTTTTATTTTTTTTGAAAATGTATTACTTTTGAAATCTAAAGTTAAATATTTTGTACTTCATCCACGTATTACCTCTTAATTTATGACACATAACAATTGTGAACTTTTTAACAATTTATATGAATGTTCTTTGGAACCTGTTTTTGTAGAAATGCCCTGTAAGATTTATGATTTAGGTGTAATAGAATACTTGGTTTTTATTTTCTGATTTAGATATTTTACTGACTTTGGGATAATGAAGAATTCGAAGAGCTGGATGATTTACTTTTCTATTTCGTTTCCCTAACTTCTGTTAATTATTGCTTTTAATAGCTAGAGCTAATTATATTCATTATGGTTTGTTTAAAATTGGAAGACTATCACCATTAGACCTTCCGGTCAGAACGTCACTGTTCACTGCATTGATTACGGTTCGTCTTCCCCTTCCCTTCCCTTCCCTTTCTAGACCCTAAAACTCATCGCATCAAAATTATATTTTCATTTTTATTTCACTTTATTATTTCCTGAGCAGAAGATCAACATGTTGTTTAATGGATTATAAAACTATTTATCTGATAAATTAAAAGTGAATATAGATAAACAAGTATTGCACACCGAGCAAAGAGCACTAGACGTGAATAATTTGAACACGACCACTTTCGGGATCAGACCCATCACAAAGGAGTTGCACAGCTAGCTGACCATTAATCCCACCCTTTTTAATTCCAAAAGTGGAACTTGTCACATTAATAGAGCATGATTGTTTTCCAATGCATGCTCTTTCAACCACAGCCATACTATAACGTGATTCCCATTCACCTATTTGGAAGGAACCACACTTTCCTTGTGGGTCCCCATAACTTGCAAATTGGATTTCAGATATGGTTTTCCCATTTTGACATGTCACTTCTAATGTGCTTCCATAATCTGCAGTTGCACAAATAGTACCAACGGTGATTGTTTGAACAGACACGTTGAAGGGGTTTCCACCCATTTCCTCAAACAAAACCAATGTGTTAGTGTCCTTGTTTAAGAAAGATCTTGGTACATGGTAAAAACTTTGAGATGGTTCACCACAACCACTAGCACACTTCTTAGGTTCATAATTGCCTCTGTAACCACAGGTATCACTACATCCATTTTCATCGGCCACCATTGTAGGCCAATAGCGTCCAATGCTTTGTCCATTAACCCAAGCTTGTCCTTTACCAACGCCTTGTAAGTCTAACACCACAGATTCTGTACCTTCAGGGGTCTCAAAGGTGGTTTTGTACCAAGTCATTGGCCTCCCAATAGGAGCAATGTTTATGTCCCATTGAACTCCATTGAGAAATTTGGGATCATAGAACCTTCTAGCCTCACCATTTAACCCAACCTTGTAAGACCAACTTGATGTTGATAAATCCAAACTATTGTTTGACTTGCTTCCAATGAGTTTCACAGGACCCCCAACAATACCCACATTTTTTAGATCATAGAATGCACCATAATGTGCATGCCCAACTGTTCCACTCAATAAACTTATAACATTGGTCCCCTGATTCAAAGAGACAGGCTTTTCATATACAAATCCAAGTTTGTCATACTTGCCCCATTGAGCACCGATATATTGTCCGTTAACATAAGCATGAAGAACACGACCTGTTGTATTCACTTGCAAAGTGGCATTTTGCCATGAGGAGGTGTCATTGATAACAACTTTGGTCATGTACCATAAGTAATCACTAGCATCAACAACAACTCCCTTTTGCTCAAGAAGTTGAGATACTTTGAATGTGCCTTTTCCTTCAAGGGTATCTTCCACTGGGTCTGATTTCCATAACCAATTAATTGGTTTACCCTCTGAAGCTGGTTTCTTAACATATATAGTAGTTTGGGTGTTAACCTTGGCAGTGTTGAAAACCTCCTTCTTGCAATCTTGGAGAATGGATACTGACCAAGCAGGAACAGAGTACTTGCCATCTTGTTGCAGATCAACTTCAGCATCCTGAGAATTGTGTGAATTGCTCAAGAAGCAAAACTTTTCTCCAGTGGCATTGTTTGCATATGTAGTCAAGTACACTAAATTCCCATATTGTTTTTCAGTAACAGTGCCATTGGTGAGAACCTTTTCTCCAAGCTTTATGGCAGCATGAAGGTTCCTAAGATGACCCCATTTGGGTTGGTTCAGATTACCATATTCATCAAGTGGTGCATCATAATCATAAGCAGTGATAATATATGGACCCCCTGCTGTTCGCCCAAAATTTGTTCCTCCATGATACATGTAATAGTTTTGAAAGACTCCACCTTTTTCAAAGAAACGTGCAACTGAAAATGCAACATCTTCAGCAGTTCTATGTGGCTTCCTTTCACCCCATTTCTGAAACCAACCAACCCAATTCTCAGTAAACATTTTAGGGCTCTTAGGATTGTTTGGCTTGAAATTGTCACAGTAATAACCATTGCAAGTGTTGATCATTGGTGCTGGAGCATTGCTCTGCTTGCACATAATCCATGGGACACCAATATTTTGAGCTAAAGCCATTTGTGCACACCATTTGATATAAGCATTCCCTGCTTCTCCATAATGACTCATAACATCTCCATATTCATTCTCAATTTGAGCAAGAATAATTGGTCCTCCTTGTGATGCAAACAATCCTGCTTCTTTGCACATGTTCACAATCTTTGTTGTGAATATTTGCATTTCCTCTTTAAAAACTGCGTTATCTGTTCTAAGCTGAATCCCTGGCAAGCTATGTAACCACATTGGGAAACCTCCATAGTTCCATTCAGCACATACATAAGGACCAATTCGAAGCACAACATATAACCCTGCTTCTTGAATGTTCTTAACAAACTTGATCAAGTCTAAATTTCCTGAAAAATCATATTGGCGACGCGCAGGCTCATGAAGGTCCCAAAATACATAGGTTTCAATGGCATCAAGGCCACCATCCCTGGCCTTTTGAATAAGGTCGGGCCACATTTGTGAAGTGCTGCGTGGATAGTGAATTGCACCTGATATTATTACTTGTCGTTCTCCATTGATGATGATGGCATTTGCATCATACTCAACAGTTGTTGCTAATGAGCAAGCCCAGAGCAATGCTGAACCTGCAATGAGAAAGATTTTAATCCTTTGATTAGACATGATATTTTGTTCTCCGAATGAAGCTTGTGTATTTTTTCAGAAGAGCCAGTATTTATAGGTTCAATTTCTTACATGGCTATTCTATTTTTGGTATGTCTGAAGAATATGGATAAATAGATAATCTTTATATTGTTTGTTACGATAAGGATTTTTGTTTTTGTTTTTTTGGTCTTCTCATTTGCTTTTCTTAATACCTTAAAATGGCCTTTTCGGATCAACTTTGTTGCTCGTAAGTTCTATTGTGGTTGTGAATTGTTATTTCCTAACTGAAGATTGTTAATGGTCCTTATCTAACTTTTGCATTAGCTGGTCAAGTTTTATCGTAACTAGATATGCCTCCCCGGATGCATGAACGTTAAAAAATTCGGAAACCACTTTTTCACGTCTGTATGTTTATTGTAATGTTTTTATTATTATATTTATCATAAAAATTTCGAACACTCAATAACAAAGACTTACAAAGTAAAGAAAGGTGTTCATCTGCGTATACGTCATCCGATACATATACAGCTATAATAGCATCTCTAAACTCTAAAGTATAACAATCCTCAAATAAATGACAGTGAATAAATTAAATGTTTATGTGAAAATTTAAACACGTATTCAAAATAACTGTAAATGGTAAATCTTGTAATTGACATAATAAAAAGAGTAAATATCTTTTTCGATCCTCAGCAAATTCTACGATGCCCGCTTTAGTCCTTAGCAAATAAAAGGCTATTCGTCGTCCCTAAGAAATTCAAAGTGGATCCATTTTAGTCCTTTTGAGATACTAATGTGGGTCTTTTTAGAATTTGTGAGGGCCACGATTTCAACTAAATGAGTCTATTTTGAATTTCTTAGGGACCGCAAATAACTTTTTTATTTGCTAGGCACTAAAGCGGGCATCGTGAAATTTGCTGAGGATTAAAAAAGATATTTACTCTAATAAAAAAGTTAAGAATACAGTTCATTCCAAACAAGTCTAATAGGACCCTAAAATAAATATAAGGTATATGTTAGGACATAGATGTCTTTATGTGAAAAGTCAGTATTACGTTGGTAATTGACCAAGGTGAAATCAAAGGTTGATTTTGAAGATGTAATTAAATTCTGTGGTTAATTTCATGGATTCAAAGTGATCCTATCTTGATCAAACCATGTCTAGATTAATTTCTAAAAATTGATCAAAGTAAGAAAAATTGATAACCAATGAAAGTTGGTTTAGGTCAAAGTTGAATGCAAAGTTACTAAGTTAGTAATATAATTTAACTTTGTGAATTCCTTGCATGATTTTTTATGGATGATTGATTATTTGAGACCTTATATGCTTTATATTCTTAAAGGTCAAAGTTAAGTGTTGACTAACCAATAAGTACAACTAAAAAAGTATGAATTAGGGACGGATTTTAGAGAGAGAAAAAATTCCGTCTCTAATTGGGACGAATTTAGAGACGAAAAAACAATCTGTCCCTATTTGGGACGAAATTAGTGATAAAATAAATTCTGTCTCTAATAGGGACAAATTTTGAGATGAAAAAATATTTCGTCCTTATTTGGGACGGACATAGGGACGAAATATTTTCAATTCTGCAATCCGTCCCTATTAGGGACGGAATATTGTCCGTCCCAACTTGGGATAGAATTAGTATATCATCTCTAAAATCCCTCCCTAAATCCGTCTCTAATAGGGATAGAAAAATCCGTCCCTAATTGGGACGCATTCAGAGATTAAATTTTGTATTTAAGTGTTATTGTTTATGAAATTACAAAACTATGAACTTTTTGTTAAATTATATAGATTGGATATTTGTGTTAAAAAAAGTAACATTACATGACTTGACACATGATCGACACTTTCTCTAAGAGTGTTTAAAAATCTTAATTTATTTTTCTCTAAAGATTGACACATGATCGACATTTTCTCTAAGGGGCTGTTTGGTTGAAGGCATTTGTTGATAATGATAGATAAATGAGTAGTGGAAATATCACATACCTACGTTTGGTTGAAGGTGGTTCCTGACTTAGCTACCTAAATGGGTTTCCTAGCAAACGTATTTGCATATCAATTTGAAGACATATTGCCGGCCAAAGTTACCCTTCTCGTAGGTGGTATTGGTGAAAAGCTTGATATTTTCTCACAAGGAAAAGGTGCACAAAGACGAGCGTACCCTTCTCGTAGTTGTTTGGGATCTATGAGCCACTTGGCATCCAAATTGAACTCTCCAACAGAGTGAATCTCATTACTAGATCCCATTCTACTTTCCCTCAAGAAGATGTGAAACTAAGTAGTATAACAAGTAACAGAATCACTCACACACAACAAAAAGACCATGCCCTTTAATACACTACAAGGAACAACTCAAAGACACGTGGTTGAAATGAATCAAAGGTACACAACAACAAATGAGGTAGCTTTCATTTCTGGGTTTGACAAAAGAATTGTTTAACTGGGTACCCAAAAGTCACCTTTCCCAACAAAGAGTTTAGAAGCACCCACCGAAACTAATGAATGAAGTAAAAGGTTGAAAAGAGGCACCAAAACTAAATGACCCAGATGGAGATTTGGGACAAAATGGAGAAGATGGTTGGTGTAGTTGGATGAGAAGAGATGAACGTTGGGATTTGACTTGATGTGTACAGGTAGAGTAGCATGCCACTATAAATAAATTTTACTATATTTTACTTACAACCAAACATAGTTTTAATACCAATTTGAAATGGAAAAATTATATGGGTTTGGTGTTTGTCATTTTAAATGACATATGTTATGTTATTTTAAGAGAGAAATAGACACAGAAAAATAGAAATCATGAGAGAGAGAAAGTTGGTGTTTTTTTTAATTTAAAATTTAAATAATTTTTTTTCTGTGTCTATCTCTCTCTTAAAAGGACAGAATGTTATGTCATTTAAAATGACAAACACTTTTTCCAAATTATATATAGTAATATGATTAAAATTATTTTCAAATTATTTTTTTCTCTTTTCAATCCTTTATAGTTTATAATCAAAGTATTATAGTATTTAGTGAGATTTTCATATGGAATTTTTTTCCCCTTTTTTGTATTAAATATTTCTTATATTTCATCCAAATTGTTTATATTTTCCTATTTCCCAAAATTTACATTTTTCTCTTTTTCCAAATTTTTTCCCTCCTCTCTTAACTTTTTAGAATGAATTGCGCTATTTCCCCTAAAAATTTTAAACTCCCGCTTCTTTCTTTAACAAATTTCCAATTCTTTCTCAAATTTCCTCTAATCCTATCACAGTATCAAACACCACCTCAAAACCAAATCTCTAATTTCTCCTTTCATCTCTGCCATCATATCCCCTTTTATCCTTCAAATCCAAAATCTTCCTATTCTGAGTCAGTGGCGACTTAACGATCGAGGATTGACCGGAACTGAGCCCGCTAGTGGTGGGTCCCTTGAGGAATCAAGAGAAGCTCTTGCAATTGCAGAAACAAATGGTTTTCATGTTACCATCAATATATGAATGGGAACTGCATCATCGGTTATGGAGGTTCTTCTTCTCGATTTTCTAATTCTTTTTCCAAAGGTACTCCTTGAAGATCCCATTTGCTTTTCGTTGTGGATCTATCTTTTTCTGAACATCAAGAATTTTTTTCCTTTTAAATTTTTAGAATATTGCTTCAAAAGTTATACTTTTTTTTCGAGGATTTGTGGAGATCCCTGGGCTAGGGTTAAATATAATTTTCCTTTAGCATTTTTTAAATTGTGAAAGTCTTTTTTTTCTTCAGGAAAGTAGCGAAAATTTCTAGGCTGAGATTTTAATTTTTAAATGGGTGTATGAGGATTGTTCATCTGATTTATAAATATATGGTTTTATTAGTGGTGAATTGATAGGAAGAAGGTCTCTTTGTGGTGGATTGGAACTCAATTCAGAAATGAACTAGTGAAAAAGGGTTAAGAGACACTTCCAATGTGTTTTAAGAGCCACATCGGATGAGAGGAGATGAAATGATGAATCGGAGATTTATTAAGGTTTGATCAAATATTCACCTGCATTCATTTTGCGCAAACAAAGCATATGTAATTATTTGTTATATCTGTGCCTTTTTGACCCCAAACAACAGATGAATAGTTTTTTTTTTATATTGAATAGATAGTTTAAGCAGCACAGATGTTACATATGATGATGCTGTTAGGATAAATCTGCAATTGTTCCTATTTGTTCGATTTTCCTCTACTTATATAAGATAATAGATGAACATTTATTCTGAGAAGATAATGATGGTTTTGATGAAGGGGTTTAACGTTATCCTGGGAATAGGCATAGATATACACTGGAAAGAACTAGAGCCTGTTGTACCGAAAAAGAAAAATTCAGGAAAATGAACAAAAGAACAGAAATGTCCTCATATTTGGGTGAAACTGATGTATCAATATATTTCGTATGTGAAATCTAATAGAAAAATTGTTTATTTTGGAAAGATGTTGTGACTTGTGACTCAAACCAGTGTTATAAGATTTTCCTTTGTTTATGTTAGTTCTAAACTGGTATCTTTAAGTTATCTGCTTCTATATTTTGTGGAAGGTATTTGATATTCACTGCTTCTGGCAGTGTTTTTTGTGTAGCTACACATAAAGAATTTGATCCACGGTTCTCATATTTCATAGATTGTTTTATCTTTGTTCAAATGATCTTCTTTATTCATATGTTTTATCTATCTATTGATAACCATGTAGGTATGCTTGATTGGATATTGCATTGAGGGTTCCCTTTTCCTTGTCTATGAATGCATTGAAAATGGAAACTTAAGCCAACATCTACATAATTCAGGTGATAAAAGCACATAGCAAACTGTTTCCAGATGTAGGATCTTTGCCATGGTCTACACGAGTTCAAATTTGCTCTAGCTTCAGCTAGAGAATTTAATTTCACTGAGTGAGAAATTTTTAATTTATTGTTGCAGGTAATGTATTAAAGCAATAAATCCTTGATGATTATGTGAAAGCATTCCAAGTTTGAGTCACTTATATGTTGTTCTCATGTCTCAA